CAAGTGTGAGTCCATGTGCACAGTGGATAAAGCAGCACATATGTTTCTGTGTCCAGTGGGAAAAAGTTTTTCCAGGTGAGAGTCGCTCAATGTGGATGACGAGGCCCCGCCCCCCTCCCCCCGTACGCTGTCCTGGTTTTGACAAACACAAATCTGGTCACACTGACCTGTATTCACCTGAGTCATGTCTTTTAATCCAACACAAGTTGAACCACATCAGCGACACAAGAGCTGGAGTTTTATCTTCACTTAGTTTATGTAAATTAGTGATGTGGTTTTAAGTTTTGTTTCTGTGAGATTTGAACAAAACTGAATTAAACACATTATAATGTCAAACAGCTGATGTGGATCTAGAGTCGTTATGTTTATATGTCGTAAAGTTGAATTTATTGATGCAGATTAGTGCAGATAGTAATAATAATGATGATCATTTTAATAGAAAAACCTTCATGATTAATCGATAATCGATCGTTAATTCTTCCGACGATCGATTAAGAACATTTCATCAAATGCCCGTCTCTAGTTAAAACAGAAACATAAAACAGAAACATAAAGTTCCTAAAGGTTGGGAGCTAAAAACAGATGGAGACCAAGTGAAACAGTAACGATAATTTAATATTTAAAACTAATATAATAGTAACAATAATATAATAATAATTTAAGTTAAAACAAGTAAAAGTTTAAATTAAAAGCAAAATTAAAAAGAGACGTTGTGAGTTTCCACTGGGAGCAGACCTCAGATCCTCAGATCCACTGCTCCACAGACGTGGGCCGTAAAAGCTCAAAGTCGTCTCAGCGTGAGTTTGAGTTTGGATTTTTTTGGGAGTTAAAAGACGAGACCTGAGGAGCTGAGAGTCTGAGTCTGGACTAAGACCAAGAAGAGATTTATAAACCAATAAAATGAACTTTAAATCTCTCCTGATCTGCTCTGGCTGAACGTTCAAAACTCTCATCCCAAAAGAGTTTCATGTTTCAGATTTACACCTAAAAGTCTGATCAGTTCTTCACGTAGGAGCCGTAAGGTCATGGAAATTATTTAAAAAGTCATGGAAAAGTTTTGAAATGTTGTCAGTGAAAATGAGCGGGAACCCTGTGACTTTAAAGGTGCACTGTGGAACTTTTGTGGGAGCCTGAGCTGACACAGACTCACCCCCTGTGGAGAGTCTGACTCCGGTTCAGCCCATCAACGAGTTTCTCTGGACCAATCACAGCGCTCCATCGATTCAACTGAACCACGATCAATAACCACGAGCCACAGGCAGAACTAAACCAGGACTAAACCAGGACTAACCCAGGACTATAGCAGAACTAAACCAGGACTAAACCAGGACTATAGCAGAACTAAACCAGGACTAAACCAGGACTATAGCAGAACTAAACCAGGACTAAACCAGGACTATAGCAGAACTAAACCAGGACTAAACCAGGACTAACCCAGGACTATAGCAGAACTAAACCAGGACTATAGCAGAACTAAACCAGAACTAAACCAGGACTAAACCAGGATTAAACCTGGACTAAACCAGGACTATAGCAGAACTAAACCAGGACTAACCCAGGACTAAACCAGGACTATAGCAGGACTAAAGCAGAAGTGAACCAGGAATACACTAGAACTACACAAGGAATAAACCAGGACTGAACTAGGACTAAATCAGGTCTACACAAGGACTAAACAGAGACTAAACCAGGACTAAATCAAGACTACAGTAGAACTACATAAGGACTAAACCGCGGCTGAACCAGGACTATAGCAAGACTAAACCAGGACTAAAACAGGACTAAACCAGGACTAAACCAGGACTACACTAGAACTAAAGCAGAAGTAAACCGGATCTAAGCAGAGCCTGGACCAGGACTGGACCAGGACTGGAGCAGAGGACCTGTCTCCTGGTGTGAGGTTGTGGGTTTGTTTCTTCACAGCGCCCCCTGCTGGACTCAGACACAGAGCAGATGGAGAGACTGAGGAAGGAGCACATGGAGGCTCTGAGGGACATCAAGAGACTCCAGGTGAGTCCTGGTCCAGTCCTGGTCCAGTCCTGGTCCAGTCCTGGTCCAGTCCTGGTTTAGTGCTGCTTTAGTCCTGGTTTAGTCCTGGTTTAGTCTTGGTTTAATCCTGGTTTAGTCCTGGTTTATTCCTGGTTTAGTCCTGGTTTAGTCCTGCTTTAGACCTGGTTTAGTCCTGGTTTAGTCCTGGTTTAGTCCTGGTTTAGTCCTGGTTTATTCCTGGTTTAGACCTGGTTTAGTCTTGGTTTAGTCCTGGTTTAGTCCTGGTTTAGTCCTGGTTTTAGTCCTGGTTTAGTCCTGGTTTAGACCTGGTTTAGACCTGGTTTTAGTCCTGGTTTAGTCCTGGTTTACCTGGTTTAGTTTACCTGGTTTAGTCCTGGTTTAGTCCTGGTTTAGTCCTGGTTTAGTCCTGGTTTAGTCCTGGTTTAGTCCTGGTTTAGTCCTGGTTTAGTCCTGGTTTAGTCCTGGTCTGGACCTGGTTTAAAATAAACAG